TAACTTATTATGAGAGTATTGTACATTAGTTACTTTCTAGAATTTGCATTGTTTATAATTGGAGTTTGGTCTGATAAATACATACTAAGGTAGTTGTTTATGAATACTCTGAGCCTTTTTAAGCCACCATGTTTTAATATTATTATATCCATCGCTAACCACTTTGAGCCTTAGTTGTTCTTTCGGTGACATAGCCATATTATTTAGTAAGTTAACTTGAAAGATTAAATCTTCCCACCCTTTTTGTAGGTAGAAATTTTTAGTTTCCTTGTCTAATGTAAAATAATAATTTTTTGGAGTTACTCTTGGAAGTTAACAACGTTTAAGCTTGGGGTTGGTGTACTAGAGAAATTAGTCAAAAGGAAAGAAAAGGATAAAGAAAAACCAAGAAGTTAAAAATGACTTAAAAAAGATTGTGAAAAAGAAAGAGAAAAAAGGGACCAACTTAATAAATTCTCTAGTACCAAATGAACAAGAAGGAGTGATATGGAAGGATTTCGGTAACAAAAGAAAATTAGGTACCTAACTCCAAAGGTTAAAGTCTACTATCCTAAATTATCCTACCCCTACATAGGTCATGCTACCACCTTGAAAAGACCTCAAAAGTGTGTGCTTATATATGACTATGATTGAATTTGTTAGAAACTTTACAAAATCATTGTTAAATGTTTTTTTACGCTGATTGTGTGATTACCCTATAAAAATGAGTGCATATATGTGAGATGAACGACATGTTGATTATTTGTATGTTTGGAAGAACTTTTCTGAGTTACTTAGATTGAAGCAGGAAACAGAAATGTTGATCGAAAAAATAAGAAAGGTAACATTCATTGGTAAGGGTAAGCATTTTAATTCTGTTGAAGTATCCAGTGTGGAGATAGGTTACTCAAGGACAAATAATATAGTAAGTTTAGGTTTATGATGACAGACGTCATTACGTGATTTTAACGAGCAAATTCAGAAGAAAGCAATAAAATAATGAGACACAATGATGCCAAAGTGTGAAGAATATAACACAAAATACAAAGAGCAGAAGAATTGGGACTTAAAATAATTGTGAAGAAATCGTGAAGAACCGAGCACTTTTCAACATAATTTACATCATGACGTCTATCCAGTAATTTGATAATGTATGGAGTTTCGTAACTCAAATTGAGATGGAGTTTTTTGTAAAAGAAAGCTAAAAGAGAGATCCAGCGCTTGGAATTATCGTGGAACGATGCATACCATTGTGGCACGATGTTGTACCACTCTGACATGTAAGAATTGTTATATCTTTGGATATTTTTTTAAGGTTCTGATTTTGAGACAGAGAGTGACGACTAAGAGCTTTTTTGAGTAATATTTTAAGAGCATTGGAGTCATTTTAGAGCTTATTTTCCATAGATTTTGATGGAGATTTCTTATCAACTCACCGTAATCTTAAAATTCTATATAAGTAGCTAAGTTATTCTATATTAAATCTTTTTGAGATGAACCTTTTTATACTTTGTTGAATCATGTGATTATTTATGATTAATTTTATGCTTTTGTGTTATTATCGTTTTTTAATTGTTTGGGATCTTAATGCTTTTTATGTATTGAAGAATGCATGAATTGATATCAGATGAGTAGGGATTTCTGGCTGTTAGTCTACATATCCGATCTAAGGCAATTTTTCAACTTAGTAATTAACTAGGAATATGTAAGTATAAATTGTGGCTTTTGAATTAATGAATGTAGAATGCCTAGTTTAACTCTGAATTGGCCTAATAAATTAGGAAATTATTGCATAAATTATTGAGTTATACACCAAGAAATTAGATGTGGTGGTCATGTTAATTTATCGTGAGATAATAACTTAATTGCAATTGAATTAATACATAGTTCATCAACAAGTATAATTAGGGGAATCGATATAAAGGATTTAATCGCCTTTCATTATCATATTTTAATCTGTTAATTTTCTCGTTCTCATTTTTGTAACTAAATCATTATTAAAAATAACCATTGTTATTACTTTTAATCTGCATTATAATTACCTTGTTTAAATGTGCAATCCTTGTGTAGACCAATTTAATTTATTACTTCGATGAGACTAGTACACTTGCTAGAGTTGTCCACCGGGCCTGAGCTAGACAAACTATCAAGTGGTTCCCTCATTCCACGATAAAAAACATAGGGATATTGGAAGATTTATTCTCCCTCAAGTTGTGGGGGAATGTTTTATTTTTACTGATATTCCTTGGAAACCTTGTGGGCCACCTAAAATAAGTGGAACATGTCAAGATATCCAAAGGGAAAGAGGCATCTAATAGGGCGGTCCAAACCTTTTTGGGCGACTAAAACTACTTTGTGAGCTTACCCCCCCCCCCCCAGCATCCACTTAGTTCTCCCGTGCGATGGGAAGTTTTTATCATAAACCATCCCTTTTTAGGCCCAATCAACTTATCCTAGTTCACAGCCCCTCTATCACAAGGCCTTGGAAAGGATGAATTGATTTAATTCTAGCATATTTCCACCCTAAATATTCTGCAAATTCCTCAGGAAAAACTTGGGGTGAGTCTCTTAAGTGAAGCTTAGGGAAAGTCCCTCAAGAGAAGCTTAGGGTGAGTCCTTCATGTGAAGCATAAAACAAGTCCCTCAAATGTCACCTAGGACAACACGTGCAATAAAAAATGTTTCTCACGATGGATTTGTCTTGGGAAGCCAAGTTTGTTAAGGACTCTTGATTCATTCACATGTATCAGAACGTGAGATATGTGCCAGTTAATTTTGTAATTGTTGGTGTGCACCTAGTAGAAGGCAATCATGTCTTATACAACCTAGGATTCTGATCTTATAAAAAGAGATCCTCAACCTATTTTTCATCTAAGATATTTCCAAGTTTTCATTGTAGCAGATCAAGTTCCTTTTAAAACCTCTGAAGCTTAGCTTCACTTTCTTCCTTTGTAATAAGTATGACTCTCCATTCTCTTCTTCATTCTCATTTTTCTATAAATGGTTATCATTAAGGAGTTAGACGAGAGGGGTAACATGGTTGAACCCTCCAATATTAGGGAGCTTATAAAGTTATATGAATAATGCATGAAAAATGACAGGAGAGTCGATAGAACAATCAACTACAGGTTGCTCAAAATAGGGATGTTTTGGAAGATACAAGAACACATTTGATTCTTGTAGTGATAATGACTATATTTCTTCCTGCTCTTTCATAGGAAATATAGTTATCAATGACAACCAGCTCATTCAAGCATTTAAGAGTGGAAGACTTTGAAACTTGTTATGCCTCCAAAAATAAAGCGACCTCATTCAGGAAACACATGAACCTCTTCAAAATGAGCGATGAGGGGGATATCATCCTAGATCCTTGCTTCGAAAAGAAGTAGGCTAACATATTGCTATAGAAGATTCACCTCACGCCTTCTTCTACATGTATCTTCGAACTGTGCATGACTTTAGAGTGCTCATACCATTCATCCATTTCGAACCGAAGATTCTTACAACCATCAATGTCACCTTCTGCTAAATAACTCTTAATAGTTGGGCCTTTATAAAGGCCTTTGAGACTATTTGTCGCCGCTTAATGGTTAACCCTACAATAGGTGATTTTCTCCTTTTATTGAATGAAAACAAGATTAAAATGTGGCTAAGTAACCTTAGGCGATCTTCTATGAAGGATCATATTCACCCTCACTCTAACCATTACAAGAACTAAAAAGATAAGTTCACGGGGGTGATGGGAAAAATGGGATGTCCATGGTTACCACCGGGGAAGATGACACCTATTATTTCCTCTTATACCATATGGAAGATCATGTGGACATAAACAACTTTTACTTTGAATTCCTAACCATCACACAGAGACACATGGTCAATGTTTTGGATGAGTTCAACATTATGAACTCTAAGGAGATCTTGGAACTCGACCATGGCACAAATTACAAAACTGATAAACATTTGTGTAAGTTCAACTTCTGTAGGTGTTATATCAACTAGGGTTTTCTTGTCTCTTAATGCTTATTTTTTTCTTTTCCTTTTGAAGAGAAAATGCCCCTCATGAATGTCGTTGAAAGGAAAGCTTGCATAGCAAAGAAGACAACTACTTGTCGTGAGTAACATATCAATAATCCAAAAATACACCTTCGTGGCATCATGATTCAGGGTGGAAGAGGCATTGGGAATGTCATTGTGAATTACGTGCTTACTAAGACCATGAAGCATGAGAGATTAGGGAGTTCTACATTTGCCCAAGGTCAAGAGGATAAAGGCATAATGCCTATGGAGACAGTTATTTTAGAGGACGAGGTTGCGGGTGATAACAGAAATGGGTCGCTCATTCAGGAAGAAGCCCCCAAAAGCAAGCCTGAAGGGGTTATAATGCATTCTTTATGGAACAATCACGATGATGCTAAGAGCTACACTCACACTTGCCTCCTTTAAGTAGAAGATTTTCCCAACGACTTCATAGTTTTGAGTCGAATGGGGACTAGACATTTGTCAAATATGATGGAGAGTCATCTACTCCAGAGCCTGATGTTGGAGTGCCTATTATTCAGTAATCATAACAAGCGGATAGATATGTCGACGTGTTGAAAGCCAAGTTAAAAAATGCAAAGGAGACATTGAAGACCATCATTGAAGAGCGTGATTAATCAAGGCATTTTGAGGCAGAGCTGAAAGAGCCCTTAGAGAAGGTAAAGAAAGACCCCAAGGAAGCCAAGAGAGGCTTTCCTGGACAGATAATAGGTTGAAAGGCTCATATGAGTCCTTTAAGGCAACCTTTTTCCTCCAAAATAATTTGGAAGGTGAATTGTTAGTGGAAAGAATAAATGGTTGAAACCTCCCCTAAAATTCCTCATTAGGGAACACCTGTAAGATGAGTCTGCCGCTTTCTTTCATAACAGAGTCGGCGGCTGGCATAGAAGTCTTTCGCATACAAGGAGATGCATTTCTGGTACAGGTAGTACTGGACAAGCTCTTAGGGAATAATATCTTTCTTATTTCTTCCTTTTTTTCCCATGACGACTAGGAACGGGCAAATAAAAAATTTCACTTCGAATTTCGGACCTCAACATCCTGCTGCTCATGGTGTTTCAGGATCAGTATTGGAAATGAACGGAGAAGTGGTGGAACGTGCGGAACCACATATTGGATCACTCCAGTGCGGCATGAAGCCGAACAAATACTTTAAATGTGTTAAAGAGCTTGTGGCCTTTTTCCATCTTAGTCTAGATTTGAGCCAACTAGGTGTGTTCAAGGTGATCAAGGATGACCAGGTGGTTAAATGAGAAAGATGGAGTCATAGTGTTTCCCGCTTAAAAACCGAATGCTTCCTCTAAGAAGAATAAGGGCCCCCTACCTTGGACGAAGGGTGATGAAAAAGAGAGTCATTAGACTTCCTTCAGTGTTTTATTCTATAAAATTATGAGTTTAAAGTATCAAAATTTTAAAAATTAATAAAATCAAATCAAATTAAAATTTCAAATTTAAAAATAGCGATCAGAATTTAAAAATCGATTAAAAAAAACGGATAAGAAAAGAGCAACTATGAATGTGTGGAAACAAATATATAAATTAGGACACGATTCCAGAAAAATATTTTTTCTCAAATCTTAAATGAATATTTGTTGTGAAAATAAATAAATAAATTCAATTTAGTTACTAGGAAAATCGCAAAAAATCAAAAATTTTAAATGTATTTGAATGTTATTCTGTAAAAATCGATTGATTCAGATCAGATTTCGAATTGATTTTTTAAAATCGATTTAAACCAAACTAAACCGCGTGTATATATATATATATATATATATATATATATATATATATATATATATATATATATATATATATATATATATATATATATATATATATATATATATATATATATATATATATATATATATTTTAAAAGTGTTATATTTCCGGTCAATTTAGTTACACCGTATCCACACCGTAGCTTTTTAAAAGCATTTAAGCATTGGCACAAAAATCAAGATAAAAAGAAAATTATTTTAAAAAATCAAATGTATGTGTTAATGTAACATATTAGTGTCATTTTAGCATTTCACAAGTACTTATTTATCTCTTATTAAAATATATGTTGTATTACATATTAGATGACATTTATTTTTCTAAATAATATTTATTAGTTTTGATTTAATTTATTTATTTTATTATTTTCATTTTATAATATTAATTTTGATATAGTATATTATATATTATGTCAAATTTATTATTTATTAATATTTTTAAAATATTAATAAAAACTATAATTTTACTATGGATATCCAAATTAAATCACAATAAATTGAATCGGATCCAAATCGTACCGCAAAATCCCCTTACCGTATCCTAATTAAAGAAATTATAAAGACTTAAACAAAAATTTACATACTTTGAAAAGCCTCGTCTATTTAAAAAAATAATGAATTTATATCCACCGTCCAATATACATCAATCAATTATAATATTGTCCGTACGTATATATTCTCTCAAGCAATTAGCATATACTTATTCTTAAAATTTTACAAAAATAAAAGTTTGCTGATTTACCGAGATTAATAATTAAAAAAACCTAATTAACCCCAAAATTAGTTCCGTTTAAGGTCACGCCGTACGAGGAGAAGAGATTATCCGGCCCATGCCATCCCTCTCTGACCGAATATTATTTCAAACAGAAACAGAGAGAAAGTGATGAGATGAGATCTACCTATTTCTTCCCAATCGATTTCTTTTTCTTCCTCAAGTATGCATCTTTTTCCATTATTACTTCTATTATTGCTTTTCTTTTTCTGCACCACTCAGATTCGATCCAATTCCACTTCTGCATATCGTTTTCTTTCATTATTTTTACATTTTTTGTTTTTTTTTTAATTTTAATCCTTGTTCGATCTGTATTTTTTTAAAACCCAAATTGTAGTTTTTGTGTTGAAGTTGTTGTTTTGGTAGTGACTATTGTGGTTGATACAAGTTTTTACCTTTTGTTTTCCTTTTGATGTATGCTTGTTAGGGTGTAGAATTCAATTTTGAACATTGTTGCTCAATTTTATATTCTTATACCTAGGTATTTTCCACAGTTCATTATTAGTTATTTTTATGTTTATTTCTTGCATTTGTGTATCTACATTGTTGTTGTTCATGTTAGGTAATACCCGTGTTGTCATCCGCGGATCACAGAACATAATAGTTTGTTTCAATTCTGCTATGCTATAGCACTACCATAGCCGTTATTTGACAATGTTTGTTTGCGAAATTACGCAATGCAATGGCACTATACTAACTTCTCAAGTGTAAAGCCTTATAGGTTCTGTACGAATAGTTTACTTATTAATCGGAGTTGAAACTATAGTAGATTGGAACTTTTATGTTGTTTTTCATATTGTGTTGATTTGGATAGAAGCATGGTCCTGGATAGAACATTATGGCAAAAGTTGATCCATGTAGTCGATTCCACTTAGTGGGATAAGGTTTGGTTGTTGTTGTTGTTGTTGTTGTTGTTATTGTATGTCATGAATACGTCCTGCTTTATTATCTCCATCCCTATGAACGAATTGTACACTGATTGTATTTTTCCATGTTGCCACATGATTTGCAGGAATTTGTGATCTCTGCAGCTTATATACGGATAATTTGATAAGAAAACCATCGGGCTGTAGAGGAGAATGGCAGAAACGATATCTAGCTTTTGGGGTCCAGTCACGTCAACTATAGAGTGTTGTGAAAAAAATTATGCATATTCATCATATATTGCAGAATTTTACAACACAATATCCAACGTTCCAACCATTCTTTTGGCGCTCATTGGTCTTATAAATGCTTTTAGACAACGGTTTGAGAAAAGATTTAGTGTTCTTCACGTATCTAATATGACACTTGCCTTTGGAAGCATGTTATACCATGCTACCTTACAACATGTGTAAGTATTGATTTCTGTCGATGTTTGCAGTAATTCATTTAATTTTGTTGTTTGTTTCTCTAACCTCTTAAGTATAAATCAATTATTATATACATATACATATCTGATTTACCACTGTTGTTAATCGTGGATTGTGAAATATAGCAGTTTGTTTGAATTATAGCCCTGCTATAGTTGCTACTTGACAACATTTTGTACTAAATAGCGTATTGCAGAACCATATAGATTTGCTCAAATTTTACTTTGACCACACTGATACACACAAGACACTTGTGCATTTGAATTAAAAGGCTAATTTTTATGTCACTACATCCTTTTTCAATAGTGTATCGCAGAACCATATAGATTTGCTCATCTATTTGACCACACTGATACACACAAGACACTTATGCATTTTTGAATTAAAAGGCTAATTTTTATGTCACTACAACCTTTTTCCCTCCTTGTATTTCTTCATATCCTATGTTAAACGATCTTATTTTTGCTAATGGAAGGAAGTGTTTTATTTTCAAAAGGGTTAGATAGATCAATAATGATATTGTGACTATACAATAACTGTCACCAGAACACGTAGTTTGATTATTAGTTTCTCATAGTTTATAAAAGAAAAAAGTTGGTTGATGAATATCTGTTGTTTTTGGGTAACTATTTATTCTTCAAATGTTACACTTTAATTTAGGCAACAGCAGAGTGACGAAACTCCAATGGTGTGGGAGATTCTGCTGTACATGTACATCCTCTACTCTCCGGATTGGCACTACCGTAGTACAATGCCCATATTCCTATTTCTGTATGGTATTGCTTTTGCCGGTGTCCATTCATTTGCCCGTTTTGGCATTGGCTTCAAAGTCCACTACGTCTTTCTCTGTCTCCTCTGCATTCCAAGAATGTACAAGTATTACATCTATACTGCAGATGCGTGTGCCAAGCTGATAGCAAAGCTATATGTAGCCACTCTTCTATTAGGAAGTTTGTTTTGGCTTTGCGATCGAGTTTTCTGCAAGGAGATATCCCAATGGCCAGTTAATCCACAGGGTCATGCTTTATGGCATGTTTTCATGGGCGTCAATTCCTACTTTGCAAACACATTCTTGATGTATTGCCGTGCTCAACAACGTGGCTGGTCTCCGAAGATCGTTTGTTTATTTGGTGTTTTGCCATATGTCAAGATTGAGAAGCCAAAAAGCCATTAAGAGAAGATAGTAGAAGATGAAAAATTATCTATCATGATGATACATATTGGAAGAGTTATCTGTGTTTTTGCCCTTGGTTCTCAGTTTTGTTTTTCTGATTTAGATTGGTTTAAGTGATGAAATTTTTTATATATTTTGTTGCAGCTCTAGGACATGTACTATATTTAAAGCCATATGGATGGTTTCTTGGTCTGAGACTTTTGTTAACACTACTTATGACAACCGAAAGTTTTGCAGTAACATGGTTGTTTGTTTCTGAGTTTCATACCACACTTTTAATTGTAACATATTATGTAACCTTTTCTAGTTGAGTTATTGAGTATGTTATTTACCTTGTGGAGCTTTAAACATTGCTTTCATTGAGAAATTTCCCTTAAGTTTCAAGGCTAGGTTGGAATGAAACATTATTAGAGCAATAATGTGTGGCTACTTTTCTCTGTCTTTCTAATAACTCAATCTTTTCAAAAGTATGACGTGATATGAAATTCAATTTAAATATATATTTTGCAAGAAACCATTTAAGTGGCAATAATTATGACAAACATATTTTCAAAAATAATTTCAGTTTACCGAAAATGAAAAATACTTTTACAAAAATAAAAGCTATTGATATTTTTGAATAAAAATAAAAATTTATTTTTGTTTATATATTATTTTTATTATTAGTTTCTAGTCAACCCTACTATTTAATTAAACATTTACACCCTCTAATTACTATTATATGCAATAATATTTTTTTAGGTTAATTGAATAATTAACGTATCTATGAAAAAAAATTGTGGTGATCCAAAATGAACATATTAAGTCTGTACTTTTGGGGAATTGCTTAAGTGTGTCATTAGTTGCAGCAAAATTAATTTTAACATGTTTGATTATTCTCTAATAAAATTAATTATATTTTTAAAATTAATTTTATTATAAAAAAGGGTGATACATTGACAAGTCATATTAAAATATTTTAACTAATTATTTCAGATATGATATAATGATATATTTCGACAGTGTAAAGTGTATAACAATTAAATCCAAAATTATTTGATGTTAATATTGATAGATTTTGAATCTAAAATAATTCACATTAAAATTTATTGTTTAATTCAATTTTATATTAATTTATTTAAACGTAAGTCATTTTACCTTCACTTGTTTTTAGACAAAATCAATTGTAATTTTCTTCATGGCATAATCAAACACTTTAAGTCTCATGCAGATAGATTTAAATCATTGAATAATAACGCAAGTTGTATATTTACTTATTTTAATCAAAATCAAATTCAACACCACACTCTCAGTCTCAGGTAGATAGATATTTAAATCACATCATGCTCCAAATCCTTTTTCACTAGGGAGTAAAAAAGTTTGTAAGTATAATTCCCAGAAAAAGAAAAAAAGAAAACAATGCAAGAAAACAACACCTATAAATCCAAATCAAGGTGAAAATCAGAACTTAACTAGTATGATTTGACAATGACTTAATTTGCATCATGTTCAAAATCCCTTTTGACTTTGGAGTAATCAATTCTGTTGTGTGTAACGCCCAAGAAAAAAGACAATTCAAGAAAACTACACAATCACGCATAGGAGCTTTAAATCCAAATCAAGCTGAAAATCAGAGCTCAAAGTATGATTTGATAGTGATAGTAATAGTATGGCAATTTGGCAAACATAAAAACTGGTGAATTCATGGGAGAATTTGAATAGATGAAAACAATTTATTGACATGTTATAAATTAGTTTCATAAATTCTCAAAAACAATCTCATGTCAGTAGATAAACTCAGATAAGTATGTAGAACAAGATTCCGTCATTCAAATTACAGTTATCGCTCCCCTCAAGGAACTGAGTAACAATACAGGCGTTCCTCTTGGAATGCCATTGGCTATTTGAATATTCCAAGATATTCAGTTAATGATGGTTGTTTAAGTAAATCAATCAATAGAATATTCAATAACAGTGGCGAGAGAAACAGAAGGGGATGTTTTAACTGTCAAAGTACACACTATACACATCTTGACAGGTTCCTGAATCTTTGTTTCGTTCCACTCAAAAGATAGAACACGCATTTAAAAGTATCTTTTTACCATTTCCCTTGCAAATGAAGGAACCAAATAGAAGGAGAAAGGACAAATACACCTTGCAATGGATCTAAGACATCCTTTCAATTCCTTGTTGCAACATTTCTCCAAGCCTCCTATACAGAGCTTCTTGTTCATCGAATGATAGGTTCATCAATATCTGAAGCAACCAGCATAAATGCCATAAATACAACATCTTTCAAAATGTTATTTAAAAGAGTGTGTTGCTAGCATTTTAAAAATACAATACCTGGTCCAAAATCATTTCAACCGATAAACTTTGTGGCACAACAAAGGACTGATGATATATATACGCAAACACGGCCATAACCATCTACACAAGGACAAATTGGTCAAATATTACTTAACTTCTACTTGCACATCAAAGCAGGATACTAAAAGGACTAAAGATACAAATAGTATAGAGGAGTTAAGCTAAAATTAGTGACAAGTGACAAGTAGAGGAGCAAAAGTAGGTCAGTATATAACTACATACAATAAAATAAGCGCAAAATATCTCTACCCACTTTCACAAATGATATAAGAACATTCTATTGATTGCATGATTATTAGTCATTGAAGATTTTCAGGAAGTTCATTGAAGATCCTATGAGGTTTGAATGTTCTCAATTACTAGAATTAAGTGAATTTTAATGTGCAGGACCATCTTTAATGCTTCATCATTTTCTTCCTTGGAAGTTCCTTTTCTTTATAACTTCTTTTGAGGGTAGGGCAGAGATGTGGGAAAGAACTATGGTTTTGATTCTTTTGAATATAGTTTCCCTATTATGATATTCCCATGTAATCCCAACTTCGAATTAATTTATACTTCCTTTGGATTTTAAGAAATATTGATCAAAACAAGCATATTAAAAAAGGTAGTTGATCACATTTAATATATGCAATTCCATAAAAAAAAAATTAAGCCTATTAACCTATATGACTAATAAATTTGGTAATTGGAAATATAAATTTAAATTAAATGATGTAAATCAAGAGACTACCTGGCAGTCCATTCTGTCGGTAATTCCACCGTGTCCTGGAATACTATCACCAAAATCCTACAAGAAATGGGAACAGCCACTTTATCTATTTATACCTGGGACTTAAATGGGTGTGATATATTCTAGCATGATTGCATCTTGATCAGAAAAATAAAGTGCCAAGAGCATACCTTTATTTTAAAAGCCCTTTTGAAACCACTTGCAAAGAAGCCTCCGAAAGGTGCGATAATTGAAGCAAACAAGCCAAGACATAAAGCATGCCATTGAACTGGTAGGATTGATATCTCTTTCCAAGGAAACTGTACAACAACATACAGTGTGTCAAAAGATATGATTTTCAGGGTCTATGATTGAATTCTCATGATTACAATAGAATCATTCTTATAAGCTGAACCGCAAAACAGAAATAGAAAGTTTAAATTCAATGGTTGGTAGAAATGTCGGCTTTCAAATTCTCTGTTGTTGTCTTAATAATGTCAATTTTATCTAAGAATCAAATGTAGAATGAATGGTTAAAATTTGCCTTCTTTGACCAGCTCAGTGATAGGGTCAATTGAGTTTGAGTCATTGATTGAGCAGTCTGGGTCTATGATATTGTTGTAGGTTATAGAATTCAAAGTTCAGCTGGATGTCAAGTAATTACCCAGTGAGGAGTCCATCCTAACAAAGAGTAAGATTCTGGCTTAAACAGTAGGCCAGGATCACAGTCAAGCCAACCAGTTGATAGGTCCTGCATTTATTCCCACCATGTTGGTGATGCGAACAAAAGTCAGTTGGTTGTTGAATAAAAGACCTTTTAATATGTGGTGTACAAGAGAGCTACCTTCCTAGGACATGTAAACCACGGAGAACGACCCATGATGTTGGCAAGCTGCAAAATGAGTTTTGTACAATGATATTATTAGCATCCAGTTCAGAATAATTACATTCATATTTAAAGACTAAAAGTAAGAATTTTAATTGCCATAAATATGATCATTCAATAACGCTCACAACAATGAATATATATCATCACAAGTGATTCTCGATCAATGAAAGCGTCACCCAAAAAAAACGTGTTTTATCTTCATTAAGTAATTAAAATTTGCTCACCATGAATGCAGATATGATGGTTGTAACAGATGCCCCGATAAAACCCTCCCAGGTTTTCTTTGGTGACAACTTAATCAAAGGGGTTTTTCCAAAGAAGAAACCAAAGAAATAAGCAGCAATGTCATTAATGACAATAAGAGTTGCAGGAAGAAGAAACCTGTACAAAAAGTCCGCAAAACAGAAAAATCAATTCAATTCAAAAGCAATGGAGCAGCGATATGTTCTGTTCATGTAATAGTACATACATACACAAAATCAATTCAATTAAAAAGCAATGGAGCAGTGAAATGTGCTGCTCATGTAATAGTACGTGCATACACAAGATCACTTCAAATATTGGTAATCAGATGATGCCATTTTACAAGCAATACATTAGTGCCACTAAACTGAGCAGCACATTTCTCTGTAGGAAGTATATCCATTTAAACTGATTATTGCTTATTTAGATCATTCTAACCTCTACTACACCTATCTTTTCCCCCTCAATCAATTTTTACTAGAATACTCACATAACGACGATGATAATTCTAGACATAAAGATATGGCCTCATATCTCCCATCTCATTTGTTTGTTTGCTCACATCAATAACTTAGCTTATGCTTATGAATGTAATTACAAGTTCAACAGTCTTTCGAAGACCATTTGATTCCTTTGCTTAATTTAAAGTGATTCATTTTAAAACTTCATCCCCGTCTCTGAAAAGTCGGAAAGTAATCCTATTTTACAACTTTATTGGTTTTCCAAAAGTCATCCGTTAGGAGAGTACTTGATCACCTCCCATGCGGCAGTAAACTGTCCCTCATTGCTCAATCCCTAATCTTTTCTCCATCTTTTTTCCTATCCTAAGACTTCAGTTCCACTGTTTGGGCAAGAATTGAAAATGTGATTTAGCCTACATGCTCCCCCCAAATATGCAGTTCACTACACCATCCTTTCAGTTGATTATTATGGATCAAATACCTATCAGATACCATCTAACATAAAAAGCTGTTGGCATGGATTACGAACAGCATCACGAAATATGATATCATGCAAACGAGAATCCTCAGAAATAGTCAAGAAGTTTTTTGGGCATAATTATTGAACAATCATTATTTTCTTTTACTGGTTAAATTACCAGAAAATCCCTTCAAAAATGCTTGGCACGGTGAAAGAGGACTGCCCAAATACAACAATCAGAATCATATGTGTCCAAGCATACTGGCCAAACTGGTACTTGTACATCTTCTTCTTCAATGTGAGAATGAACCATATGAATCCTGAGCCCAATCAATAAAAGGGAAGATAATCAAAGTATAAGAGTACTTACAATGGTGCAAAATCATCAGTAAAATTGCAATCCTTGAAAAACTAGAAAACAAATTAGCTAGGCATCTGGACATTGCACAAAACCCAGCCCATGAACATTAAAACAACAAACGTGATATGCATAGGTTACCTGTAATATACAGGGAATAGCAGACAACCATATGATACTTTATAAGACTGCTCACAAGCCGATATAAAACCTTGTCGGAATTTACTGTGTTAACCAGGCGCTGACTCAGAATACGTCCATAAACAAATAGCATTGCAGTGAAGAAAAAATGCCTGAAATGGGATATGCCAATTAAAACTGGAACAAGTTATTACATGTTTTTCTTTTAAATAAGATGCAGGTTTATGGCGCATAGTCAAAAATCCGCCGTATAAATATGGTGCTGCAGCCTATGGCAGATATACTAGATGTTACGGAGGCGGGCACAAAAGCTGCCTTGCTATAACACCGCGACGCAGCCGTGGCGGAAATTTGACAACACGGACATAAAATAATAAATTTCCTTTCGGTGAGAGATTAATGAGTTTATAATATATACCAATTTAATAGCCTAAATCCTGGAAGCTGCTTATCTTCATGAGCTCGGCGGAGTAGATTGAAAAGTTCTCTTGCCATGAAGATTTGAATGACCACAATCATAGCAGTAATGTAGAGATGACCCATATAGATGATCAACACAAAACTTCCAATCATCCAAACGGATGAATATGCACGAATCAACATAGACTTGTATTTGCTTTTGTCATTAACAAGTAACTGAGCCCCATTTGATTTACTAACTTCTGGAATAACCTGATATAAAGACATCACACAATAAACCACCTTCAAAAAGTATACGAAAACTTTCCCAAACAGATACTGCAGAGTTTCAGATCCTAAATCGTTCAACTTATTAATTTCATGTTTGGAATCACAGTGAATCAGTGTTGTCAATCATGTACTGCAAACAAATTGTGATTTATTCAAATCCGCAATACATAAGTGCGGTAGCACCGCTATAGCCACTATTTAACAACATTTCGTCGTAAATAGCGTATCGCAGAACAATAGCAATTTCTTCAAAATCTACTATGCTATAGCGCCACTATTTAAAAACTCTGCAATGACTTTGACAAAACCATTTGTCGCTATTGTTCAGCAATACGCTATGCTATACCGCTGCTATTAAACAACCCTACAACAAGTTTCACAAAATCACCGGACGACTGTAATTTTGTTGAAACTCCAAAATACAACTTTTGCCAAAACCGAAATGGCACTGTTATTCTACTAAATTAACCACCTGTGGAGGTAAAAAACCACCAAGTAACATAATACAAAAGATAAAATTATAAAACCTAGATTTATTATTAAGTTAAAAATAAAATAAAATAAAATAGACCTAGCTTTCAATCATATGCTTTCCATACTTAGATACATTAGACAAATTTTACATCCTCTTCAAATTTCAGGATAATCAATAGTGCAAGTTGAATCAATTTCAATATGAAAAAAAAAACTACTAATATAAAATAAACAGCAATTAACAGTAAGAAATCAAAGTTTAAGAAACTAATTAACCTCATTAGAGCGTTTCCGGTGCCTAATTCGTCCGGTGTTAGTTGACGGAGAACTACTACTAGTAGTATCCTTTTGCATAGTTCTTGAATCAAATTTCAGCGAAATTGAATCAACGTAAAATGAACATGTGTAGCAAGAAAGTAAAAACCTGCAATGAAAAGAGTTTCAGATTCAAAAATGAAAATCAGAAACAGTAGCGAAAGTGAGACGAAAAAAAGTACGAAACCTTGTTTGGCTCTGAAGGATGAACACGACGGTGCGAAAAAAAGAGGTTATAAGAGGCAAATACGAAGAAGAATATTGATATAACCCAATCGGTGATGAAGCTTTTTTTTTTTTTGTTGCTAAAATTTTTTGAAAAGAAAAAATTCTTTTTCTTGTTCTTGGCTTAACAGCGCACGCACACTTACTGATGCAAGAGGATCATTATTGTGAGGGATTCTGATTCCTTTACTTTTATTTATTATACTATTTTATTAGTAGTATTATTTTATGACATTTCTTTGATTAATAAATATATTTTGCATTATCGTGTATGATATTGTTTGACACAAAAATAGTATTTTTTTAGAATTATAATGAGGGTTAAATTAGGAAATTTAATGTGTATTGTAATTTAACCAAAAATATTGAGGAAAAACTTCAACAAAATTATGCAATTATGATTTAGTTAAAATAATCTTAATATGTGATTAAGAATTAATATTGCCTGTCACACGATAAATACTTAGGGTGTGTTTGGTTCAGGGTAGATGGAGGGAAGGGGAGGAGAAATTTTTAATTAAATTGTTTGGTTCAAATTTTAGGAGGGGAGGGGAGCAAAATCCCTCCAAAACACACTTTTTGGTTTCCTCCGAATTGGGGAGATTTGGAGGGGAGGGGAGCAAAATCCCTCCAAAACACATTTTTTGATTCCCTCCGAATTGGGGGGATTTGGAGGGAAGGAGAGGGAATATGAGTTTTGATATTTAAAAATTATTATATTTACTAAAATATCTTCAGTTTAATTTTATTATTTCAAAACTATTTGTTATTGTGTTACTGTTTTTTCTCGATTGTTTTCATCAACTTATTATAATTGTTCTCCACCTTCAAATTATTTTATAATTTTTATAATTAATATAAATCATAATCATTCTCTTTTTTTTTATAAAAAAATTATGTTTTCTTATATTCATTTTTTTCTTTTAATTTTGTTATGTACTCTATCATATTTTCTTTTATATCAAATTGTAAACCATATTATTTTATTTATTTTTGTTTATTCATTTTATTAAATATTTTTAACCATTAATATTTAGTAATAAGTTATTTTATATATTTGTTTTGTTATACGAGTCATCACAATTTAAATGATATTATTGGCATATAGTTTAATTTATGTTAGAAAGTTATAGGTCGAATCGATTGTACTCAATTTTTTAACTTTATGTGACAAATAAATATTTTTTTAACCACTCAATATTAGAAATTTTATTACCAACAAAAATACGCACGAATTTTACACATTTTAATATCATATGACTTATATAAGATCATAAGGATAAAAATGTAAATTATTAATAAAACCTCTCCCCTCCCTTTCTGAACCAAACACATTTTTAATTAAAATTCCTCCCCTCCCCTCCCCTCTTTTGAACCAAACACTTATTTGATTAAAAAATTCTTTCACCTCCCCTCCCCTCCCTTCCCCTTCATTAAAATCCCTCATCTCTCCTTCCCCTCATTTGAATCAAACAGACCCTTAGACACATGAAAAATGTTTAAATTTTTTAAAATCTAATTTATAAATGTTTAAAATTTGTAACTGTTTAATTTAAAATTTGACCACCTAGTCAAATATTAAAAAAAGAATTTAATTAAAATGCCCAGTGTAAATTTTTTTATATAGTCAGTAAATCATAATGTTAAATTGATATAAATATTTAACTTTTTCTTTTCTTTAATCACATATAAAATATTAGTGATTGTGATGTACTGACTGTAAAATATTTCACACTTAGCATGACAATTATTCTCTTAAAAAAATTATTAAAATTAAATATTAATTTTATTTTTGAGAAAAAGAAGTATGTATATGATAGTGTATTCTCTCACACTTCATTTTTAAAATACTATTATGCATAATAAAGATTTTAATTAATCTTATATATATAATATTGTCTTACATTGTTGTGTACTATCTTTAAAAAAAATTAACATAAAATTGTAAAACTCAATGATATTATGTTAATGTATCATAAATTTAAAAATAAAATAAAAAAGCAAATTAAGATATAATTTTGTCAAACAATATTCTTAAAATTCAAATGATTACTAAGTATGAGTGATTTTATTGCGAGGAAATATTATTCTAAGTAAATTAATTGTTGTTAAAAATAATTTGAAAATAAATTAAAAATATATAAGATTTGAATGAATATGTGTCTTTATTAATTTATTATGTCATCAATATAATTTTAATGGATATGTGTCTTTAATTGATCCACAGTTTAAAATTATTTTATATTTTTATGTTCTTTTTTCTCAAAATCAATTTAAATGTAAAAATCAATGTCAAAACATAACTATTTTTTGTAATCTTAAGTAGAATAAATTATCAAAACAAAATTAATTTTATTAAAAAAAAAAACTAAATATAACAAAATCAATTATCTACCTCTAAAATTTGACTATTTAAAAAGTAGAACCAAAGCTGAAAGTAGTATAAAATCTTGTTATGAATTTGTAACAAGAAGCAAACATAGTCTGAAACATATTGCACATGTGAAATATAAGATAGAAAAAGTAGCAGCACACATAAATAAAAGGGTACGGAATTGGAAGCCAGTTTAGGAAATTTCTTACTCTATGGACTAACTATGGTTAATTAACTAATTAATTTCTAGTGTTAATACAGAATCAAAAGTTGTTAAGATTGTTTAAGTATTAAGTCACACTAACACTGCGACTCGTCAAGAACAGTTTTATACTTAACATTTTTTCTGATTATAGTGTCTGCTATCTGCTTTTTAGTATTTGGAACTTTTACCTGTTTGGGAGAGGAAGATTATTCGAATATGAAAAAGCAAAAGTTCATTTCTTCCATCAAGATAAAAAGGAAAGGATATTTTTTATGTGGAGCAAAGAATATAAAGTGATTCTTCTTCTTCCTTTTAAAAAAGTGATTCTTCATCTTAAAATACTATTCTCACCATTTGTGTCTGTTTGTTACATACATAACGAAATGCTAAGAAAGTTTATTAAAAGATAAAACTACCAGTGATTAATAATACTATTAATATTCATTGTTTCAAATTGGTCGTACTAGTATTTGAAAATGATATATCTTTTTTCACACAAAAAAGAATGCCACGTGTAGAAAATTACAAATTGTTAAAGTCTTCAGCCTTATGCTGTTGAGTGTGGGTTGGATTTTGATGAAGTGTTTCAATTATTTTATGAATATAAAATAATCAGCATTATAGTTGACAACGGTAACATTAACATGTGCTTTGTGTATTAATTTATATGTTTAAAATGATGTTTGACATTATGAAAGTGGCTTATAATAAATTATGTTTTGGGTCTATCATAGACTCGATAACGAAAACGCTCAAATATCAATCTAAAGTCATAATATACAGAGACACATTGCATCTATTATTTCGAGATTTGTACTCAATTTATATTACAGACGATTCCTCGCATACCATACCGAAAAACGAGGTCTAACCACTCCTCGCTTATAAGAGATATTATGCCAGAGTTGGGGTATGTAGAGTTGGGGTATGTTCTAATCGTAACTTACTCCCACACAACTTTTTACTCAATAACTGATTTAGACATTAAAATATTAACCTTGCAGGTCCATCCCTATCAGTCGTATAGAAGCTTGCTCCATCGCACCAAGACTTTACTACACATTTTTGGTTACATAACAGAACATTGACGTTGTCATTGAGAAGCAACTTTTAATTCCTACGAATTCCACAATCAAATCTCTCTGATTCAAAAACCACGAATTACTACAACAAGTTTACTTGAAGAAGAATATGATAATCGATCTAGTTACCAAAAACACAATAGATTTCTGAGCCTCAATATCTTTTCATTTGCTCTTCATTGATTTAGTAGACAACAAATCATTCATCGAGAAATAGCTTCCACCATGAAACTCCCCCAACTCGTCGATGGCAAATGAAAGGTAGGAAGATGACAGACATATCTTAAAGTTTCCAGATAGTGATAAAGTAGGTGGAACTTCCACTGTGACAATTCCACTAGTAGTAACTGCCTCTATATTAAATCACTCAGTATCATGAATCCTCATTGATGACGGGAGCTTCTGTGATCTAATGTACATCAAAATCTTCATGAGGTTAGGGCTACGCGATTGAGATTTAAAGTTGTATGAAGGCGGGAGTCTGCTAGCATTCAATGACTCCTTCATTCTTCTATGTGGAACTACCAAGTTGTCAGTCTATTTCAGGGAAAGGAAAGACAAAATTGTCGCAAATGTGTGTTTCCTCATTATCTCTTATGAAAACGTGTATAACAACATCCTTGGGAGGTTGTTCCTCATAGCATTAGACACAGTGGTCAGCCAGGTCCATTTGAAGATGAAATATCACAATAAAGCATGCAAGTCAGTTGTTACTTCAACTGACCTCTATGGCGCTCGCCTTTTATGTGAAGTTGAATTGAAGAACCACCTCACGACTGTCCTTGCCTATGAGAATAAAACAAGAAGACCTATCAAACCGTTAGTATGGTCGACCTCCACATGCTAGAAGACAAAACACTGCTAGATAACAAACTCGGCCCAACGACAGGATTTAAAAGGAGAGAACCTTAAGGCCGACACTAGATAGTAGCTTTGAGACCATCCTACTTGACTATAATCTAGCATAGTCGTTCTGCATAGGGGATGAGTTACCGACCATGGTGAAGAAATGGCACTAAAGACCTCAAAGCTAATGTCATCCTCTTTGCAGTTTCCCTTAACGAGATGTTCGACATAGAGCCTGTCGTGTCTTGCCACTGGTTGAATATTGACCCTTTTATATGCTATGTGGCTCATTGAAGGAGGAGGTAAT